AAGGTTTCTGCTTACAAGTACGAACTTGTATACAAGCCTGGCCAAGAGCTCGGCCACGCTGATGCTCTTAGTAGACTGCCTCTCCCAACTGACACCACTGCATTACCACGACCTACTGAAATCTTCTTAGAGGAGGTATATCCGAGACTCCTTTCACCAGGTGTTGTGGCCCAAGCCACAGGAAATAATCCAGTTCTGGGCCATGTTGTTCTTGCAGTTCTGAAAGGAGGAAGCCTCCCAGTAGGACCAGAGTGGAACCCTTTCAATACCAGAAGCTCAGAACTCAGTCTCCATGAGGGTTGCCTACTCTGGGGATCAAGAGTAGTGATCCCAAAGTCGTTGCAGGGCCAAGTTCTTGGTGTTCTTCATGCCAGCCACTCGGGTATCGAGAAGAGCAAGATGATTGCCAGGAGCCATGTTTCGTGGCCAGGCATTGACAATGACATTGTCAACAGCGTGAAGAGCTGCGCTACGTGCCAGATTCAAGCATCGAGCTGCACAGCCGGTTCAGCAGACGCCATGGCCTTTTCTACAGCGACCCTGGTCAAGGCTTCACATTGATTTTGGGGGACCATTCCTAGGTCACACATTCTTGGTTATTGTGGATGCGTTCTCAAAGTGGATGGAAGTCTTTCCTGTGTCTTCCACATCTGCAGAAGCTACCCTTTCTGCCCTGAGAATTGCAGTCGCTTAGCATGGCCTGCCTGATGTCGTAGTTTCTAACAACGGTCCTGCCTTCACCAGTGCCCAGTACCTTGAGTTCATAACACTAAATGGAATACGCCGCATGCTTGTACTGCCATATCACCCTGCCTCAAATGGTGCAGCTGAACGAGTTGTACATACTGTGAAGAACAAACTCAAGAAGTCTGGCTCCGGGAACTTCCAAACGCAGATCTCCAGGTTTCTGTTTCACTATAGGACCACACCACATGAAGTGACAGGTCGGCCACCGTGTTAACTTCTGACAGGTAGAATGTTCAAGACTTCGTTGGATGTCCTCAGGCCAAGCCTGTGGGCATCTGTATTCCTAAAACAACTGAAGCAGAAGTTGTATGCTGACAGAGGGTCCCGGCTGGCTCCATCACTGCAGCCAGGTGATGACGTGTACGCGCAAAACTTTCGCAGGGGTAGACCCTGGGTGCCTGCCAGTGTTGTAGACGACACTCCGTCATCAGCCAGTGACCGTTTTGAAGATGGCACCTTGGGAAACCGACACAGCGACCACTTGCGCCTTGTGCAGGCAGAAATATTGGCCTCTCCTGAAACTGCTATCGCTGCAGCTCCACCACAGTTGGAGTCGCCGCTTCTCCATGCACCAGCTATTCCGGAAGTGCCTCATCAGGAACAGCTAGTTGGAACTAGCTTCTCTGGGAGTAGCTGTGCCACAGAGAGCGACGGGACTGCGCTCAACAGGGGGGTGCATGTGAACAGTGACTCTGTCGTGCCTACGCCTAGCACGTTGAAGTTGCGACGTGGCACGAGGACTAGGAAACCAGTGATCGGGTACTCCCCGTAGTCTTCCTCCTAAGAGGGGAGGAGTGTTACAATGTTGGCTCAAATGCAGCGCCCCCACGCGGCGCTGATAGTTGTGTTGAGCTGTGCAAGCCTGGCAGAGGGGGGGGGGTGGCCGTTTGGGAAACAATAAACTTAGTTCGTTCTGGGCAAAGCGCTCAACATGTTCTCTACGCAGGCCTGATGGCCTACTGTTCACGTTAGTCACTACCGCCTGGCCATCCGTTAATCCACACATGTAGCAGTCTGCTTATGCAAGCGCGCTTGTTTCAAATCTATGAGGTGCTCGCAAAAAAATAAGGTCAGATACTTTTCTAACAGACCTCGTATGTGCTGTCTTTGGCTTCTAGTAAAAAAATATGTGCTGTTGGGCAAGTAATGATGTATACATCTGAATAAACAGCCTACTTCTCTGTTAGACGAGTGTAAATGAAAAAGAAACGTTTTTTGGGGAGAGCATAGGATTTTCCATTCTTATAATAATGTCATTAGGGAACCTTGTGCATTGCATTAATTAGGAAGAGCCTGTGCTCAAATACCGCGACATATGTCATTCTTTCGGCTCTGTGAGTCCACGTGGTATAGCATCATTCATCTGTGTACTTCCCGGAAGTTTGTGGGGTAGTTGTAAGAGAGGTGCACATTTAAATTTTTCTTACAGCAAACATCTTTCTACCACCGCATACCACATTCGACATTGCAGGACTTTACAAAATATGGATACGTTCTCCAGGCATATCATTTCGTGAATCGCGTCTACCAATTGTTTCCGAGGCACTCAATTCTTTCTTTTTTTTCTGACCGCTTTCTAAGCCTATTAAATATATTTCCTTTTACAATATGCCCTCTTTCGGTTTCATAATGTAAATATTAAGAAAGAAAAGTAATCAAAAAGATAGCTTGCTGTGGGCTGGGACAGAATTTGCAACCTTCGAATAACACGTCTGATGCTCTGCCAACTGAGCCACCACGGTGGCCATCTTCCCGTTCACTTTATGGGGTATATATGTGTAATAAATGTGGGAGCATCAGTCAGTGCTTCCAGTAGCCATGACTATGAGTGTTGGACCATCTTTTGTGCCTCTTTGGCGTCGCATAGTCCATGAGCTTATTATGAGATGGCAGCTCACCAATGATCCCTCGTATACTACCTGAACGCCCAAGTCTGTCAGAACGAGACCCTCGCTATGAATAAAGGAAAAAAGTACATTTAAGGGCTTGTTTTCTCTGTTTGACTCAATATTAATGACATCTAAGAGGCCATCATGCCATTTGGCATGATTTACCATCAGATCTCAATAATATTGTGCCTAACAAGTAAAACAAGCTCTTAAATGTAGTTCCTTCCTTTTTTGGTTTTGACACTACGGGCCTGATGGGCAATCTATTGATGTTACTACTTGGTTATGCATGCCTCGTTCACTGTGACGGCTGCATTGCACGTGGACATGTAAGGTGTTCTATAACATGCTCGAGTCATAGCACCAATTAACATCAAATTAGTTCACATGAAAGACTGGGAGATGAGTGCTCCCTGCCCATAGCAAAATGAGGTACACTTACTAGAAGCAGCTTGGAAGCTTATAATGACGCTATTCCCGAAACACATTTCTTTCTTACAACGCAAGCTGTTATGAGATCACAACACGGGTCAAGCGCAGTTGCATGTTGCCCGCCGCCGCCGCAGGTGTCCGTAGCCACATCGCGCAAAATTAGAAAAAAAAAAAAAAAGAAACTTGCACCAATGACACAGTGGGGCTTGAACCCGTGTGTGCTGGGTACCAGCCCAATATTCTACCACTGAGTTTAACTTGTCAAGCTTGCCTTAGGCAGGCATGACCTAGCACCAATGGCACAGTGGGGCTCGAACCCGGGTCTGCTGGGTGCCATCCCCGTATTCTACCACTGAGCTACTCCGGTGCTTGCGACTTGTTGTCAGACTTGCCTTAGGCAGGCTTGATGTCCGGAAAGCAATCGTGTTAATGCGACTTATAAAGCGTTTCACAACAGCAAAAGAACAACCAGTCGTCACACAATGTGATTAGCGTAACGCGTGGACCGTCCAATGCTCCAACCCATTACAAAAGCTTGTTCTTGTTTCCCTATTAACTGTGGTGCATACCCACTTCAGCCATAATTCCTCATCGTCGTCAGCTGTTGCGTGGATGATTGACCCAAAATTCTTTGCAAGCGGTTAGCGGATACCGCGCTTCTCGGAAGAATGACGAAAAATAGCATAGCGAATGCCGGCCTACTACCCAAAAGTTTATTGTTAATGCCCTAGTGGGTACCAAGCGAGAGTGCTTGCAGTAGTTACCCAATGAGTGTTTTGAAAAGGCTCTGAGAGGCCTCTCTTCTAGTTTTCGCTGTGACTGTGCTGCACCTACCGCGCAGGCCTGGCATTTTTTTTACATTTCTTTAGCATCAAGTTTAATTGCAATGGCATCGAGCCGAGTTGTGATGAATCGCCTCCCATCTTTTTTTTTTTTTCCACTGTAGTTGAATAAAATTGCACTCATACGCGAGGAAAATGAGGTCCTAGGGTTTCTTGGGCCGTGGCAAGCACATGATTTCATGATAAATGTCGCGCTAAAAGGCCACGCACGCGCTCCCGAATTTACATTGAGCACCACTTCGCTCATTGCAACACAATCTGCGCCTACACCACATCATCCATAGTAAAGCTATCCGCGTATACGCTACCTGCAGCCGCGAAAACATTTGGCCACAAAAAGCCCAAATATTCCGGCGTCTGTCATGTCTGTTGCGCACAAATAGCTCAATCTCTACGGATTGTGGATTCAGTGCGGCAGTGCAAACAAAAGTTTCTTGCCTCGTGTCAAACAGATGATCGCCAGCCAAAGGGGCATGCACTGCACATTCCCAGATTAATGTTGAGCACCACTGTGTCCATCGTAAATAAATCTGCGGGCGTAACACATGTCGGCCAAAAACCCAAATTTTTACGGTGTATGGCTTCAACCAGCTTCGCAAAATCACTGTTTTTGCGGGGGCCGTCATCTTGCTTGAAAAGAAGCAAAAAACAAACAAAAAAGACGGTAAGCACGATTAGATAACATGACCACTTGTAGCCAATAGCGGCGCCGAATGTTTCCCATACATCTCTTGGGATATAATACAGAAACACTCTGCCCAGCATTTTACGATAGTTTCTCTGTAAAACACATAAATGAAGTGGCGTAAAACGGAGTCTGCGTATTCCCATGATGGCTGTTTTTTTGTTGTTAATCTTTTTTCCCCCCTGCTTTCGTTTCATTGGCAACACGGATTTTTGGAGTAGTTTTTGAACATTCGGAAATTTAAATGGTTGCAAGCACCGCTCATCGCATGCCTTGATTCTCAGACACACTAGGTCACACGCTGAACTCGTTTGGCTCGAGTGCAGTACTTGAAAAAGCTTCTTTGAATGATAGTGTGGTGTAGAAACTTTTACCCACTTGGCATTTGGTTCTGACCAACCGCAGACAAAAGGCGGTGTGACGAAAGAGGAGCTGCTGGCCCCGGACGGCTGGGAGGGGGCCTGGCAACTGGACGAGTGCGTCTCCCGAGGCCGTCAAGGGCGCCATCGCCTGCTCACCACACGTGCTGTGCCTGCCGAGCAGCTGCTGCTCGAAGTGCGCGGGAAGTTCCTGTCGGCCAGTCAATTCCGCCTGCAGAACCCAGTCTTCCAGAAGAGGCAAGTTGTCTTAGACGCTGTTTTCCACCAGTGGTTTTGTAAGAGGACATGAAGTTGCGAAGTGTTGAAAGCTGGGCAAGTTGGTAAGGACTCATCTCCTAGCAAACTGCGTAGCACCCAGGAAAGAAACGAAGGGAGAGTGCATTCTGTCTCTTTTCATTCCTTTTTACCCCATATGCTAGGCATCTGCTTTGAGAAGGGAGGCTACCCTCAATTGAAGTTCAGCGCTTCTGTTGTCCTATTTGTGTTTCCTGTTATTATCTTAACCTGGTGTGCGTTGCCGCTTATCGCAAAGCTACCCTCGAGACAGAACGTATTAGTTTTGGAGATATCTGCATGAAATTTTCAGAACATGTTTGTTACACGAAAGCTATAGGAACTGAAAAGTTTCATGAAGCTGTGTTATTCAGTTCCAGATTTATCGAGGTTTAATAAGGGTGTTTACATAGGTGCCTGGCGAAGAAAGTCTGGAAACCTTAGGACAATAGTACAGTTAAATTTGGATATAGTAAAATGCACAATTTCCCCCCAAAATTCCCTCTCTACATACAAGGACAAAAAATAAATAAATAAACACACAAATTAAACAAAAGGAGAACTGGCAGAGGTCACCAAAAACACTAAATTAGTGGTTGGAACTGCATTATTATTGCGACTACAATTAAATGAACACTCTCCACGTGTTTTTGTCATCACTGCCATATTCTATACAAAGTTCAAATTGATAACGTGCCCCCAGGCACCACTACTTTTACGAGATAGTAGTGCGCGTGAGCACTCCTGAAGCAGCAATCAAATGAGCTGGCCTATTTCTATTGCCTGGAGGGCGCATATGATAATATACAGTAGACTATCAGTAAACGGAAATCTGTTAAACAGAACTACTGCTTAAACGGAACATTTGCCTCTGCTGTGTTTGGTTTCTGGCGTGTATTCTGCACCCATGGTCACCTCTCAGAAACAGGAACTCAGAAAATGGGACATATTTTCACGGTCTCTTCAGGTTTCGTTTAACTAGAGTATGCCTCTGCGTGTTAGAACTGTCGTCGAGTGCCCACACAGACGCACCCGTCTTAAACAAGCGTGAAAAAAACGGGAGGGGGAGAGGGTTGCTAGAGTAACAACAGTGAACTTTCATTTGGCTTGCATGGTCGCAATTGCTGGTGCACGTTATCTCAGCAAGCAGGAGGCAATGATTATCTCCGCAAGCATCAGTCCACTTTCAACGCCAAGGGTCTCTGTGAAAGGTGCACAGGGGTGGAAGTTGTGGGGGTGCTAACACCCCCCGTGTAAAGTTGTCTGCGCTGCGTGGCGCACGTGTCTCGCCCCAAGGCTTTGTTTTGGTGGTGACCATTGCCGGGCGATAGATGGCGTTGTGTTCGCCTTGAGTACCACTGTTGGTAGAGTGGTAGCGCCGGCGGTGGCCCCTGGCGGAAGGCAGGCCTTGGTGGTGGGCGAGCATTGAGCGAGCCTCTTCTGCGTGTGGCAGCTGCCGCGAACGGTTGTCTGTAGCGTGGGTCCCCGGTGCTTGGCACCGCGGGCTTCGCGCCGGGGTCCCACGTGGAAAGTCAGGCGTTGGCGACGCCGCCTTGGGTATGTGTTAGTGTGTGTTTATCATGTTGTGTGTTTAGTGTGTCATTGCGTTGTGTTGTTTGTATGGTAGCGTGTTAATCAAAATTGATGTATCATTCGACAGACGATATTGTCATCTAAATTAGTTAATAAATGTATGTATGTTGGGTGCTTTGTACCGACCGCGTCTGCTGTGTCCGTTCACTCTAAGAGTGTGGCGTGGCGAGGCGCGCGTTCGCCTCGCCGAGACCTCACACTGGCGCTCGTTCGCATCGCTGAGACACCACACTGGCTGCCCAACGTGGAGCTCTTGGAGTATCGGACGACGGTTTTTGCGGTTCAATACAGGGATTTTATTAGAGCCGGAGTAGAGTAGGCCTAGGGGGACATCTTTGCTAGCGTCGGTGGTGTGCTTTGTTGAGAAGCGAAGAGATTGGTTTTGTAACGTGTTTGAATTTGTCGGCAGGTTGACTCTATTTTTTTTTTTTTTGCTCGCAAGTGTTATTTTTTGTTGTTGTTAGTTTTCAAAAACGTTGTTGAATTAGGACGAGAGCCATGCGGTCAGCATCCTGGGGTGAGCAAGGCCTAAAGCACGTGTTTTGTAGGCCAGGCCCGAAGCGAGTGAGTACGGAAGCCTCGTGGGTGGTCCGATTTTCTGTAAATAGCTTCTTCTATATCTTTGGGCTCAGGGAGCCGGGCGTCGTTGCTGTCTGGTATTGCGGCTCGACGCCGAGACGTCGTGACACCGCCCAGGGCGGTGGACGCCGATCGCTCGGTAAGCTGCTGTGTGCGGCGAGCGATGGGCCACCTCACAGAGTGGACGTCTCCTCACGGCTGCCTCTTCTGCGCCTAGGCTGGGTGCTAGGTGGATGCCGGTTGTTGCCGAGCGACTCATTAGGCCTAAGGCTCTGCGCAGCCGCCTGTCGCACGTGGCACAACTAGGTGGATCGTGGCGTCGAGGTGTTGCGCTCTGCTTCCCTCACTTTTTTTTTATCTTGCGATGCAAGGGTTAGGAAAATTGATTTTTGTTTTATTTTGATGGGCGTCTCGGCCGCCACCGATGTATTAGCTAGCAGTACTGACCAACGTACCACGTGGACGAAAAGCACGAAGCTCCGTTCCCGCAAACCTGCTCAATTGTTTTCTTTCAAGTTTTTTTGTTGTTGTTATTGATGTATTCGGCGGGAGGGATGTCATCCACAGCCGGCTGTCCTGCACATCGTCAGCGTCGCTGGCCAGGAATGCGGTCGTGAGGTCGGGCGATGGAGATGCCTGGGACCTGCGCAACTGCCTGCAGTCCGGCGCCCTCGCGAGTGCTGGTCGCAACTGGAAGACGCTAGCGTGTTGGCGCTAGCGACGGATCGTCGCGCCGACGGCAACGTTGCTGTTGCGGGGCCGGTACTGAGGTGAAGTCTAGCCGGACAGTGCAGCAGTGTCGACCAGCGGCGGTGTCGTGGTGCAAGGACATTATGGTCGTGCGATATCATTTTTTTTTTGTTAAAGCTTGTGTAGCTAATTTCTGATTTTGGGATATGGTTTGATTTAAGGTTGGAGGAATGTGGAGGTGCTGACACCCACCCCCCCCTGTAAAGTTGTCTGCGCCGCGTGGCGCACATGTCTCGCCCCAAGGCTTTGTTTCGGTGGTGACCACCGCCGGGCGATAGATGGCGTTGTGTTCGCTTTGAGTACCACTGTTGGTAGAGTGGTAGCGCCGGCGGTGGGCCCTGGCGGAAGGCAGGCCTTGGTGGTGGGCGAACGTTGAGCGAGCCTCTTCTGCGCGTGGCGGCTGCCGCGAACGGTTGTCTGTAGCGTGGGTCCCTGGTGCCCGGCACCGCGGGCTTCGCGCCGGGGTCCCACGTGGGACGCCGCCTTTGGTATGTGTTAGTGTGTTGGGTGTGTTAGTGTGTGTTTATCATGTTGTGTGTTTAGTGTGTCATTGCGTTATGTTGTTTGTATGGTAGCGTGTTAATCAAAATTGATGTATCATTTGGCGGATGATATCGTCGTCTAAATTAGTTAATAAATGTATGTATGTTGGGTGCTTTGTACCGACCGCGTCTGCTGTGTCCATTCACTCCAAGAGCGTGGCGTGGCGAGGCGCTCGTTCGCCTCGCCGAGACCCCTCAAAGTGCTGCGACCATTGCGCCGCTCCGTGCCAATCTGACCTGCTGTGCCATGCTACGCATAAATGGCAATTTCTTTCAATAATTTTAGATTGGAAGTGTAAACTGTGTGGGAATTGAGGCTAGCCTGCTGCCTTAGCGGGCTTTGCCGCCTTTTCTGCCGTTCTCATGTCCCGACATGTCTGCTCTCCTCCGCTGTCTAACTGTGCTGGGAGAGCGGAGTGACGTGTAAGCCCTCACCCGGTAGCGGATGTTGACTGTGGTGCTGCGCGCAGAGTCTCCCGAGAGGTATTGCGCGCGTGTGTTGGGAACGGGCAGATACTCTTCGGGACAGGTGACGGTGAGCCACGCAATCTTTTCCGCCCGTCAACTCCCGTCGTTCGGGGCTCGTCGGACCTCTTGACGGCGCCTCGCGCCCGAGGCGAACGCTCACCTTTTGTTGTCCCTCTGCGTACGCTCAGTCGAAGGGTGGTACGGTGTCCTAGTGCGTGGCCTAGCTGCGCCGACCCGTCTCCCTCCGAAGCCAACCCGAGCGCCTTTGCCCTCGCTCGAGCAACTGGGCCTTGGTCCTGGTGTCTCCGTGGATTACCTTTACTATGGAGATGTGCTCGTGGCACCCTGTGTAGTACTTTTATGCCCGTGGCGTGGATAAGCCCATTTGCTTTCCCGCCGTGCCTTTGCAACGGGCTGTACTCCGTTTGGTGTTGCCACAGACAATAAAGTGTTGCGACCCTGAGCAGTATCGTGTCCTCGCCACGGCGACGGTTAAGGGAGGTCGCGGGTCTTAGAATGGTCAAAAATGACCAAAAAATCGTTTTTGAGAAAACCGCATTTTTCGAATGTTTGCACCAATAAGCACCTGCCATGAAAGTTTCAACACTGAATTCAATAGGAAAATATAATAAAATCGCATTTCAAAACGGCACGGTAGTCGCGAAACGTTTCGCAACACGGAACATTTGGTCAAACTTCCCGCGCGCACCGACGACGAAGCAGGGAGCCGATCGCCGCCATCTTGGTCCTGTTTTGAAGCTGATTTCTTTGTGCTCATTTTGCGGGCCCTCAATATGGCGTCACCTCAAGAGAACGACAACTCTCGCCCCTTTTCTGAAAGCCACTTCCGTACCGCCGATTGGCTAAAGCGCGCGCTCGCAAGTCGAGCCCCCTGTCTCGCGCTTCCCATTGGCTGGCGCGGCCAAGGCCACCCGCCGTTTTTTTTTTTTTTTTCTTGCTTCGCCGGTCCGCCGCAGCGGTTGCTGTTGCGCGCGCGTGTGGTGTTCTGCCTTTCGTGTCAACGCTATGGCC